GGGATTTGGTAAATAAAAAGCCTGTATCTGGTCTCCTAGGGATAAACAGGCAGTGGACCTTTGCAGTGAATGTACAACTCAACTGCAGAGGAAAATGTTTTCGTTTTTTGCAGGATTCAGATTTAACTGTCCAAGAATCCAACCCTAAGGTGAAATGTTAGCCCACCTGAACCTTTTTGGTCCCTAATAGTCCCTAGGGAGTAAGGAGGTGCTACACTTGTTACACTCATAATGATACTTGGAGGACTTACTCTCTCCTTCTATCTGTAGCACTACCCTCTTGAGGGCACCTAGATTTGTCTTGGGTCCCTCTAAGCTCTGCACAGCCAGGAAACATGCATTTTTCCACACTTGCACATTCAGAGTCAGTAAACAGTCCTTGTGCTGATATTTAGTTGTTTTTATTAAGGGGTTAACAACTTGGATGGGGTCTAGGGGTATATAGGATGTCCAAGGAGTTGCAAACTTAAGGACAAACTTCTTAACAACAATACTGTACAAGAAAAAGTAGATAAAAAATAGCAACTGTCTCTGTTAAGGAGCACTGAAATCCCCTTGATGTACCTCCTCAGACCCAAGATTAATCATCCTATTCACTCAGCTGCACTGAGGGTATCCCTGGGCAAGAGATTCCAAGATCTATCAGTTAAGTAGCCCTGGATGAGAACTAGTTGCGTCTTGCACCTGAACTCTCTCTCCCTTTATCAGGCCCAGGGGGTGTAGGAGTATTCACACTGTCCTGTCCTGTCAGTGTAGTGGGTTAGTAGCTGCTTCAGGCTTTTCGCTGGGCTGGTTCCTTCCCTGCTGCTCAGGATGTCCTCTCTAGGAGACGATGGGGCAGTGGAGATCCTTCTGTCCAGCAACCAGCCTGTAGGTAGGCTCCCCTCCCTGGGTCCCCCTTCCAGGCTCCACACTCCAGCCTTCCTTTCAGTCCATATTCCACCCAACTTCCCAATTTAAGGGTTGTCCTTGGTCACCATGCTCGGCCTCCTGCCTGGGGATTGGCCAAGGTCCCTCAAGCATGCAGATCTTGGCCTCCTCCCCTCCTCCGCCCCTCTTCCACAAAGTTCTCTGAGTTTCCGGAAGGGTGGGAGGGCTCCAGGAGCCTCAGTGCCCTATCCGAGGTTGCTACCCAGCCTCTATCTCAGAAAAATCCTATCTAGGTAACCTAGAGGGCTTTACATATCTACTGTGAGCTAAGTAAGGTACAGTCATTCATTGTTGGATTCTAAATGTACCATCATCACCTTCTCAGATCCATCCACTCTCAGGACTCAAAGGTACAGTTTTTCTTTACCTGCTGAAATTTACTAATGAATTCCAGGACACCCTCTTTTCCAACAGCACTCTGACAGTATGGGGTTTATTTACTAAAGCTGGAGAGTCCAAAATCAGACTCCCTTCTGCATAGAAACCAATCAGCTTCTAACCTCAGCTTGTTCAAAGAAGCTTTGGCAATGAAACCTGGAAGCTGATTGGTTTCTATGCAGAAGGGAGTCTGATTTTGGACTCTCCAGCTTTAGTAAATAAACCCCTATTTGTCTCAGGCAGACCTGACAAATGAAGCTATAAAGGTGACTATTTAGGTATTAGTGGCCTTAATACTAGCAAAATGATCCTAGTCCTTCTCCCCTCAATCCTTCCCCTTTGGTTTAAAATGCATAACTTCCCACTTAAACAGCCCCACTATGTTTCTATAGCTTTGCTCTAAAAGGAACAATACATATTAGCACTAAAAACAATACAAACCAAGACAAGCATGCGTGAACAAGGCTCCCTGTTACAAAAATAAAATAATTCTAAAAAAATAAAATGAGATTATAAAACTAAGGAACTAGCACAGAGGAACTTCATGGGTACTCCATGCTCACCAAGATCTGATCTGGATCTGGAGAGGAATTAGAATTAGTTCTGGTGTAGTCATTGAAGGTAGGAACAAAAGGGATGGGAGGTCCCAAGAGCAGATAACTGCTAGAATGTCAATGTTGTTACCCACATGAAAGAAGAATATATTTTAAATATATTTTTAAAATATTCTTCCCAAATATATTGACATATATTTGAAATACTACAATTTTGGCCGTATTCAATATATTTAAAAAATATATAATATATATATATATATATATATATATATATATATAATATATATACAATACATAATCTATATGCATTTACAAAATATATGTAAAAATATGCTTTTTTAAATGTTAAAAATGTTTGAAAATATATTTTAATTTTCATATATATTTGTAACTAGAAAAAAATTTCAACACACATATATAATAAATATATATATTATATAATATATATATATGTATATTGAAATATATTTTGAAATATATTGAATAATATAGTGTTTTGCCGGCGTATAAACGACTTTTTGACCCTTGAAAATTTCAAAATCTTATATACACATGTTTGCGGCATTTGTTTGAATGCATTTACAAATATCGGCCATGTACCGGTGAAAATATATGGAAAAAATTACTTTTTTAAAATGTTAAAAAAAATCTGGAGATTCATTGGTGTCACTGTTACCAATGATGGGGCACTATTCCTCCCACTGATAAAAAATATGGGGCACTATTCCTCCCACTGACACCAACGATACTATTCCTCCCCCCCATCTAGACTAAAAACTATTTCAACACACAATGATACTATTCCATATGACACCAATATATATATATATATATATATATATATATATATATATATATATATACCAATATATATATGATATCAATGATATATAACTGATAAATGAATATTCCTTGACATCAATATATTCCTCACTGGTGTGCATTGGAAGAGGGGTAGTCTTATACGGCGAGTATAGCCCAAACACGGACAAAAAGTAGGGGGGTGTAGTCTTATACGCCGGCAAATACGGTATTTCAAATATATGTCAATATATTTGGAAGAATATTTTAAAAATATATTTAAAATATATTTTTCTTCCATGTGGGTAATAAGTTAATAATATGTCCCATTCTAAATCTGGTCTATTCTTGAGGCAGTGGGGATAGGTTTCATAAACAAGGGGGAGTTGGACAGCTGATACAGAGAACAGGTACCCCTGGATCAATATTGCTCTTAAAGTAGAAGTTTTCTCATTTTAGAAAGAATAAAGCTGGGTACATAGTTAGGTTATTTTTTCTTGTTCAGCCAGGAGACTGAAGGAAAAGAAAACTAAATGATTTCTGTATCCAAACAAGTGAGGTGGAGTCAGTCCCAACCCAGCTGGGACATTGCATTCTTATAGCGGTTACTCTCCGCTGTCAGAATACACTGATCAGTGCTGCAGGGGATTGGCTGCAGGCCACTGATCGAAACAGATTTTCCAGCAGCACCTTTTGACAGAAGTCAATGTAATGACAGTCTTCTGTTAAACAGAGAGGGCTACACACAGATCAAAATTCTGCTGGTCCCTGCTGAACCAGACAAATTGTGATCTGTGTGTACCCAACTTAAGAGATGGTTATAACCCTGTCTTTTAAACCATCTCTGCTCCATTGGAGAGATTTCCCTTCACTTTCAGTCACCAGAACTATTATACCCATTAGATTTCTCCTCTATTCCCTTTGGGATTTGGGATTTTCTTTCACTTTCACTCTTTTTTGATAAAAGTAAACAGGACAAATAGAGAGGGTGAATCCCTAACAGGGGGACAGACAGCAATAAAAACCTGACAGGTTTTCTATTTCCTCCCAACTCTGATTACAATTTTTGTTTTGACTTTACTTTAAGCCCATACCTAGGTGTAATTTTGCTTTAGTTCCCCACGCCAAACTGTAAATCTGGCTCTGAAGTCTTTTCTATATTCTACATGATAGTAAGTGTTTTAAAGCCATATTAAACCCAAAAACAAAAAAAGTATTACATTGCAGCTGATCAATTATTAGATGTGGTGGTTGCATTCATTTTCTTTTTAAGGCTTCTTCTCTCTGTTGTCACCTGGTGATCTGGCCAGTAACACAATGCAAGTGTATAATCCAAATGCACACGTTCCTGCATTAAAAATGTCTGTAGGTATAAGTGGGTGCTGCAGTGACCGTCGGCTGGAACCGAACAAAATCAGCACGGGAAAATGTCACCAGCACACCGAGGATCTTCAATATGGGTCCAAAGGTCTTAATAAACCATCACATAGTTACAGCAAGGCAAAGTTTCGGAGTCTCGCAGGACCCCTTCATCAGGCATGTGACAATGAAGGGGTCCTGTGAGACTCTGAAATGTTGCCTTGCTGTAACTATGTGATGGTTTATTAAAACCTTTGGACCCATATTGAAGATCCTCGGTGTGCTGGTGACACTTTTTCCTTGCTGGCTAGTAATACGCCTCTTATAGTAGACTGCTCCCACTCTGGATGAAGGAACACAGGGGCACCTTTGAACAGAAGCATTGTCAATCTAGGAGGAAGGGAGTGTTCGATGTACTAGCAGATTTAGATATACTAACAAATTGAAGCCAAACTCCAGCTAATATTCTATAAACAGTTACAGAAAACAGTGTTTTATATAAATAAATACAAGCTGACAAGTGTTGACTGGTTTGACTCATCCCCATAACTGACACATCTGCAGGACAGCTTATTCTTTTGAAAAATAACAGATCACCAGATGAAAATAAATGAAAGAAAGCCTAAAAAAGAAAACTAATGCAGTCATTACATCACAAGAATTGCTAAGCTGCAATATAATAAATGCTTGCTCTTGGGTTTAATACTGTTTTAAGCAGCTCTACATCAGAAAAGTTCATATCTGGAAAATCCAGTCTAATTACAGTGTCCTCCCATCATGGTGCCCCTGACAAAAACAACCAGAGCTATGTCCTATACGAAATAAAACCTCAAACCATCACTGCAGGCATTCAAAAATCACTGATAGATTATTCATTTTAGAACATTTTGTTTTCAGTCCCATCAAGAGTGGTACCAAGAGAACAAATCTGCTTTAACCTCTTCGTGCCTTCGTGCCTTCGTAAAACAAATCTAAATGCCTAAGCACAATTTTGCAACTTTGACATGTGTTAGTAAAACTGTACATATCATCACAACTACTTTGTACATCCAGGTGAATTATACTGCGTTTTTTTTCAGGACAAATTGGGCTTTCATTTGGTGGTAAATGGTAATGGATATCTCCTGATTTTTTTTTTTTTATTATCAAAGGAAAACTGCCCAAAAATAGTAAAAAAAAAAATTTTTTTTTTTTAAACGTAGCTGTATATTTCTTGTTGCTACCATAACCTACCACCAAAGAACAACCCAAAATAAATTCTCCAGCTCTTGAAGATTGCAGTGATACCACATATGTGTATGTTATTTGTTGTTTGTACCTGTACTACTTCCCAGAAACAATAGTGCGCATTTTGTTTTTTTTGTTTTTGTTTTTTTACCTAAAACACACTGATACTAACTGACACTGATACCAATAATAAAAAAAAACCCTGACCTTTGACATTGACCTTTGACCCTGACCTTGACCCAAACACTAACCCTGGCACTGAACTAGATCAAACCTTGATCTAGGTATTATTTATTTTTTATTTTATTTTTTAATATTTATTTATCTTTTCTTTTAACAAAGTTTTTTTTTTTGTCTTTCCATTCAGAGAGAAAAAAAAACAAGGCAGGCAGGTTGTACAGTGACTGATCACTGTGATAGCCAATTAGATGCTATCACAGCAATCATGTGACTTGGAATCTGGAGTCCCGGGTCCCAATCGTTAGAACGGCACCTAGGGGTCTCAGTGACACCCCGGTCTTTGTGCTGTGAGCGCACTGTGCGGCGTGCTCTCAGTACAAAGACAGGTACGGAAAAAATGGAAAAAAAGCCCAGTTCTGTGAGTCAGCATATTTGTGTTACGTCGACGTCAAGGGGTTAAATACAGTTCTTTTTTATTCAGTTTTCCATGATGTCTCCTTGCTGGAAAAAAACTGAATCTTTTATTTCTCTTGACTATCCAAAAAAAACATTTATTCAGTTATAGAAATGCTTTCAATAAAATGAAAAATACTAATTAAACATAAATCAAGTTTTAACTAAAATGTTTTTAGCAGTAGTTCTTGCCATGTGACCAGATAGAGATGTTAAAATGTTAACTGATTTGAAATGATCTAATTTATCTGATTTGTACTTATCTCAGCACACTTTTAGTGTCATATACAATACCATCTCCTTTGCTTCTCTTCCTCTTTCATTTGGGGTACCCCAAGGCTCCGTCCTTGGCCCCCTCCTCTTCTCTCTTTATACCTCTTCCCCGACTCAGTTAATAACCTCCCATGCCTTCCAATACCACCTCCATATATATCAGTATGGACACCACTTCCTCAAACTCAATCTTTCTAAAACTGAGTTTGCAATATTTCCTCCTCCTCCGCGATCCCCTCCCCATGACTTTACCATTGAGATCAATGGCACAATCATTGGTCCCTTCGCAAATGCCAGTGTGCTAGGTGTAATCCTAGACTCTGACCACTTCTTCAGCCCCCACATCCAATCACTGGCTAAATTTTGCTGCCTTAACCTCTACAACATTTCCAGAATTTGCTCCTTCCTAACCACACCACAAAACAGCTTGTTTACTCCTTGGTTATATCCTGCCTTGACTACTGCAACTCCATCCTCACTGGCCTACCCCTACACAGGCTTACCCCTCTTCAGTCTATTATAAATGCTACTGCTAGACTAATACATCTTACTAACCAATCCATTACTGCTGCCTCTCTCTGCCAATGTCTTCACTGGCTTCCATTAGCCCAGCATATAAAATTAAAAAAATACTAACCACAACGTAGAAAGTCATTGACAACATCACCCCAACTACATCACCAACCTCATCTGCAGATATCACCCAAACCATCCTCTCAGCCCTTCCCTCCTGCTTTCCAGTTCGCTTGTTACCTCCTCCCACGCTCACCTCCAGGATTTCTCCAGAGTCTCTCCTATCCTCTGGAACTCCCTGCCCCAGTACGTCTGATCAGCTCCTACCCTGTCCGCCTTTAGGTGATTCTTGAATACTCATTTATTCAGGGAAGCCTACTCCACCTCCACCTAAGAACTGTACTTGAGTCACCTTCATCAGATCATCCCTCACAGCTATTACGTTTTGTACCACCTCCCCCTCCATTTAGATTGTAAGCTCCATGAGCAGGGCCCTCCTATTGAACTGTATAGTTTTGTACTGTCCCCCTTTCTATGTTGTAAAGCACTACATAAACTGTATAGACTGTAGATTTTTTTTTTTTTTTTGCTCTACCAGAAGGAAAAGATTGTTTTCTTCTTGCTAGAGGAGAATCTGTTTTTTCTCCTCTTCACCAAGGAGAAACAACATAAGGAAGGTTACAGAGTAAATGATTACTGTTATAGCCAATCACAGGATATCACAGTGATCATGTGATTGATAGCCGGTACTTCCAGTCCTCAATCTTTACAACTAAACCCAAGGCTGCCACTGACAGCCTGATCTCAGTTCTGGTAGTGCGTGATCACATACTGTATATACGGTGGCCAGTATTAAAGCCCACTTCCTTGACACCGCATACGTATATGTGTCATGCGGCTGTGGGGTAGGAATAAGGATATGTTAATAAACTCAGAGCTGCATTAATTTGTATGCTGTATATCTGCCAAGAGTTTATCTTTAAAGAATGAACAGCTGGCCCTTTAAATACATATCATTTGGGATGCACATAGCAGCCAAGTTATCAAAGTCTATACAATATAGACTGTCCACACAATAAAGACCTTCAGCTGTATTGTTAATTACCATCTCTGCATCAACTGTGCATTGTTCACTTCATGCAAGACAAAAATGACTCGGCTTGTATAATTAATCAGTGCTTGAATTGATTTCTAGGAGTAGATGGAACTGTAATGTTTGTACTTTTTAATAAGTGTCAATAAATATGAATGGTTATAATATTTCTGCCTAGAATAACTGATGCCTACACGATGAATAATACGGCTTGGTCATGCTCAATAATGTGAACCTGTTCCATATGAATAGAGCTCCGAGGAATCCAGCTACATCTGATAAATATCTTCTGCTGACATCCACAATATTGGACAAAGCCTCTTTTATCTATGAGAAACAAGATGTCAGCCTCCAAAGATTTAAAAGTAGATTGCACATTGCCTTCTCATTTGTGATCTCCATCTGTGGAATGCAGTATTTGTAAACTGAATATACAGTATATATATATATATATATATATATATATATATTTACATATATAAAAAAACAGCATCATATTACTGTAGGTGGCAAATATAATTTTCTAAGGGCTTCTAACGAAAGAATTGTAGAAATAAGAAGCTTTCAGTTGATAATTTACACTGAAAAAGTATAAACTTTTTTCCATATTATAAGTGATTTTACAGCAATAAACAAATAAGTCGAATAACAAAATTTGATTTAAATAGATATTGAAGCACAATATATTTATGAGACAGTGAACAAGCTAAGTTGATTTTAATTGAATGGATTTGTTCATTATTGTTAATATTATTATTCACTTTTATTGATATTATTTTTTCATAACTTTTTATTTAGTGAGAAATATATATTGTTTGATAATTGTTACATTTTGATGGGTATGTTAATAATTTATTCACTTTTATTTATTCCAATAAATATACCATTTTTACACAAGCCATGGACAAGACTAATATTGTTTACCAATTTGTTTTTGTTATCCTTGACTTTCCTTTTACTGTTATAGAACTGCAAGAATGCCAGCAATTCCATATTGAAAAATATATATAGCATGTTTTATTTTACCACAGCTTTTTTACTTCTCTGTAGCATGTATTGCATTTTATCATGTATTCGGGTATACTGTATATGACTTGTAAGCTTGTTTTATACTATGAGTATGCAAAGGGATGATTTTCTACAGTAAAAGTTAAGTGCAGTGAAGAGAAGTAAACTTGTGTAAGTGAAATAAAAATATAGGACCTTCTACAGCAATGAAAGGTTCCCATCACTACCCTTTACTATTTACTAGTTTATTTTGTCAAATCATCCCAAATGCACTATTACAGGAGCTAGACATTTTTCATTTATTTATTGATTTTACTTATTACTATTAACTACTTACGTTTTACTTATTACTATTAACTAAACTTTAGATTTGTTTTGTCTTTTTTCCCTTTATTAAAGGATAGGTTCACTTTTGGCAACATTACATGTTACACCTTTATTTAAGGTGTAACATATTATCAAAGAGCACCTGACCAACCCCCCCTCCCCTCTGAATCCCCCCATGTGACAGGGGGCAAGGGATCTTCTCCCTGCACCCGCTATCACAAATTAAAGAGAATGTGGCCATGAGAGGTTCGACTCACACAGCAGCGTCAATAATTCACAGAGTCCTGTGAATGAACTACAACTACCATCTGCTAACGTGGCAGATGGCTTGTAGATCTCAATAAACTACAAGGGCTCTGGTGAGCACTCTTTTAGTTCATTGATCTTCCAGCTCTCTAATAACTATCTGTCCATATGGGAGGTATGGGCAGACAGCTATACTGAGATTATGCAGGATCCTGGCAGTGCACCTACGATCTGCCGATTGAAGGTGCAATACTCTGCAGGCTCCAGAAAACAAAATGCACATTGTTTTTCTACCTACAAAAATATGTGCATTTATGATTTTTTTTAAAGGTGAACTTAGCCTTTAAGGTATAATCATGGTAATGAGGATAAATGAGGTAATAAAAATATAATGATTAAATGTCATATTTTAAAGTAGCTGCTTAATGGACAAAAGAACAAATTCTCTTTAAGTGTGAACTTGTGGTTAGCACTTTTGCCTAGCAGCTCTAGGGTCATCGGCTCGAATCCCAACCATGGCACTACCTGCCTAAAGTTTGCATGTACTCTCTGTGCCTGCATGGGTTCCCTCCCGCGCTCCAAAGACACGTAGTAGAACCAGAAGGGGAAAAAGACCAAGCAGCCAACGCTCCAGGACACGTGTCAGTTGCTAACCTTTCTTCATTCACTAGAACCGTTGTAGAGAGCAAGGATCCAAGGCATCGCCTGCTGGAGAGGTATAAAGTATCTTCTTTTGCAAGCAGCCTTTTTCTACTCTTTTTGTATGGGCAGTGCCCTCTTAAGCATACTTAGGCAAAAAAAATTCTACAATTTTATTTTAACAACCACCATATATAACTCTTTGTGCCAATAATCTGTCCTACTTGTACTTTTTAAGGGGTTGTATTGAACTGCATCTGGTTATTAATCTTCAGTAGTATACTGACATCTAGTGGAGGTTTTGGACAACTACAACTTGTTTACTATGTCATTCTGTTTTTTTTCTTCTTTCCTTCCTTCTTGTTTAGTGCTGATTAGTGCAGTCCTTGCTAGGCCCTCCCTATTTCCTCCCTGTTCTCTCAGTCACTTTTAGTAATTCACAGAGATAGGGCTTAGGAAAGTCATTGTCTTCTTACACTTCTAAAACCGTAAAAAGTATCCTCTGTACTGCAATTAGCTGAAGTACAATTGTGCTGGATTCAACTTCTGTAGCTTATTGAAGAGTTAAGCTGCCTATGGATGGTGCTAAGTCAGCAGGTGATCATACTGTCTGGGTGGACTTAGTCTAAGAAGGTATGTCAATGCATAAAGTGTTATTTGCAACAGAACATCCAATTTGATAAAATATGAATAATAATATTACTGAAAAACATTTTTTTCTCCGGAGCCTAACATACCTAAAACAGGCTGAACAACACATATCATTAGGAAATATGTTCAGAATGATCACCTGACTACGTTCCAATGTGCTTCCAATCATAACTGTACTTCCAATCATCAAGTTTTGCTTGATTAAAAATACATGTTACATTTACAGGCATTTATTACCTCTCATGGAGATCATAGTAGTTTGGTGGTTGT